TCGATCTCAGAGAGATCCACCTGCCTCTGCCTCTTGACTGCTGGGACTAAAGGCGTGAGCCACCAAGCCGGCTAGCAGTGTAGCTTCTTAGCCTGTATCAGTTATGTCTAGGGAGAGTGGGCCTCAAGTCTGATCACACTGCTTCCAGCTGTTTCAAGTGCACTCACTGGCTCTGTATAGCTAAACCCTCACATTGATGCATGTGCCAGAGGACTAGGTTAAGCATTTTTAATTTTTAAAAAAAGAGGTATATGTGCATGTGCCTGCATGGTTGGGGTCTACTTCTTCAGGTGCCTTTTTTTTTTTTTTTTTTTGGTGTTTTTGAGACAGTGTCTCCCTATAGTCCCAGCTGGCCTGGAACTTGCTCTGTAGACGAGACCGGCTTTGAACTCACAGAGATCCACCTACCTCTGCCTCCCAAGTGCTGGGATTAAAGGTACGTACCACCACACCCAACTCTAGGTGTCTTTTTTTATCCTTCACACCTTACTTTTTGAGACAGGGTCCCTCGCTGACCAGAGAGCCCCAGGGGCTCTCCTGTCTTCCCCCTTCTCAGCCCTGGAGTTTTAAGTAGGTCCTTATTTTGCTATGTGGGAGCTTTAAATTTTTTTGATTTATTCTTATGTGTGTGAGTGTTCTGCCTGTACATGCAGTGCCCACGGAGGCCAGAAGAGGGCATCAGATTCCCTAGAACTAGAGTTATAGATGCTTGTTAGCTGCCATGTGGATGCTGGGAACTGAACCCAGGTCCTCTGTAAGAGCAGTCAGTACTCTTAACCACTGAGCCAACTCTCCAGCCCCCTAGCCCCATTTCTTCCCATTTGCATATAAAATGGATCGTTTAATTTTTAAAAAATATTTATTTTTAATATTTTATTTATGTTTATTTTATGTGTATGAGTGTATTGCCTGCATGTATGTGAGTGCACCCGTGTCGTGCACTGCCGCAGAGGTCAGAAGAGGGTGTGGGATTCCCCTGGAACTGGAGTAAAGGATGGTTCATAGGTGCCATGTGGGTGCTGGGAATCAAACCCGGGTCCTCTGCAAGAGCAGTCTGACCTTCCTCTCTTTGCAGCCAGAGCTGAATAGAACCTGTTGGTGCAGCAGTGTAGTAATCCGTGAAGGTGGCTTCTGTTTGCATCTCCTGCTGGCCAGAGGCTGGAGCCTCCACATCAAAGATTGTTGTGGTTCAATAGGACGCCTGAGTTAGGGGAGAGGTCCCAGCAGATAGCACTTGTTCGTCTACAGCCAATGGATAAAGTGGCATGTTTGAAGCCTTAGAAGGACTTGTGCTTGCCATGCTTATGGTACCCTTCTACGATGCCCTCCTACGGTTCCCTGCCTTCCTGTGTCAAAGCACTGCTTCGCCAGTCAGTCCACTCTGTGTCTCTGCACTTTCCTGTTTCCTAATAGTGTGCTAACTTTTAGAAGATTCCATGTTTAGTAGAATGTAAGCTAAGTGCTATAGATTAGCTGCAAGGGTAATGCAGAGTTCTCAGATACCTAGTGTTTCCCATCGTTAGCAGCTTACATGTAGTGTGCAGTACTGGACTAGAACTGTTAACTGCAGACTTCACTGAACTTCAGCAGTTTGTGATCTCTTTACTGCAGTCTAGTTGAGGCCTCTCACTAGATCTGCAACCTGTCTTGTCTAGTCTGACACTTTCTCAGCTTTACTCTTCATGACCCTGGACAGAGCCTCTTACGAAACGCCCCTATCTGCTGTCTGATGTTTTTCGTGGTTCGACTGGCATTATATGTTTCAGAAGTACCCAGAGGTGAGCGACTCCCCCAGCACTGCTGCTGGTGTTGCCTGGTCACTTGGGTATGTAGTGTGTTTTCCAGGCTTTTCTGCTGTGGAGTTGCAGTTTTTCCTTCCCCGTTCAACTCTTTCAACGTACCCTGCTAAATCTAGTCCGCCCTCAAGGATTGGGGCGGAAGAGGTACAGAATTAAACTGCCTTTTGGAAGGGCAGGGACCTACATGCATCTCTTGGAATTCTCTGAGAAGCTTCGTCTCTTCCTCGTGCAGTCGGTCACTTGTGCATACCACCGTGGCCCCTGTGTGTTCGCCTCCTGTGTGAGTTATCTAATACTCTAGTACTTATTTCTTGCTGGTAATTATCCACCTTTAGCCACAGGGAGCGCTTGAAGTTGACACCCATGTCCCTATGACGTGCCTTTACCACTCTGTTCTTGTTCCTCCTCCTTTCTGGTGCTTCTAGACGCTTGGGGAACATTGTTCTCCATGCCCCACTCCTGACTCCACATTTCTCCAAGAGCTTTTGTTCTTTTTATTCCTCAGGTCTTGTGAGAAACTCACCTTCTAAGCAGGTATTGTAAAGTCAAGTTTCTCCATCTGCTTCCTGGGTCCTGCTGGGTTTGCTTGACACTTGATTTTATCTTCTTGGGCCTAACATCGTGGCCCACACCTTTGATCCCAGCATTCAGAGGCAGAGGCAGTCAGATCTCTGAGATCTAGGCCACCGGATCTTCATAGCAACTTCTAGGCCAGCTGGGGCTACAGGGAGACCCTGTCTCAAAAATGAAAAACCTTTTGACTGCTTTTCTTGGATATTTTGTTGATTTATTCTAGTTACTGGTGTCAAAGGTCATACTCTGGTGGGTAAAAATACTAAGGCTTGGGAAATGGGATGAAATTACCCTAGCTTAGTGCTCTCTGTACTTGAGTTCCCAAGGTCTTCCTGCAGATAAACAAGGGTGAGTTTGAAAAGCTGAGCTAAAAGCTGGGAGTCCTCAGTCTGCCTCTGATTTAGAATCTGCTCTTGGGCCCATTCCTCACTTTTACCTCCAGACCTCAGCCATATTTCTGGAAAGTGAAGTTATTTCACTGAAGTAATTCCTTTGAATGAGTTTCTGTGCGTGTGTGTGATTATATATGTGTGTGTATGAATACTTTGCATGTATGTAAGCATACCACGAGCTTGTCTAGTGCCCACAAAGGCCAGAAGAGGGCATCAGATACCCTGGAAGTAGAGTTACAAGTTATAGGTAGTTGTAAGCAGTGTGGGTGTTTGAAACTAAACCAGGTCCTCTGCAAGAACAGCCAGTGCTCTTAACTGCTGAGCCATCTCTCCAGCCCAGGAGAGAGAGAGAGAGAGAGAGAGAGAGAGAGAAAGAGAGAAATTGATAAAATCGAGCTGGGTGTGGTGGCACACACCTTTAGTCTCAGCACTGGTGGATCTCTGTGAGTCCAAGGCTAGCAGCCTGGTCTACATAGTGAGCTCTAGGCCAACTGAAGCTACAGGGAGACCTGTCTCAAAAAGACCAAAAAAAAAAGAAAGAAAACGATAATCGATAAGGTCTCTAGCTCATAGTGCCACTATTTTTTTTTTTTAAGATGCACTACCACACCTGGCCAGCAAATTTCATTTTAATAGTGCTGGGAATTAACCCAGGGCCTTGTGCATGCTAGACAAACACCAACAATGGAGTTACATCCCTAGAGTCTAGAACGCAGGTCTTCTATGTAAAGTGGGGTACCTTGTGTACAGTGTTGGCATCCAAATGTTTTAAGTGAGTGTGGTGGTGCTGCACTCCTGTAATCTAACACTGGGGAGACCGAGGAAGGAGGATTGCCATTAGTATGAGCTCAGCTACATAGTGAGAACTCATGTCAAGAAAAAGAGTTTGGACACTAGTTGGCATGCCTGTGTCTGGAATGGTGTGCGGTGGGTGGCTATTGCTTCTCAAGAGGCAAGGAGTGGCTAATTCCAGAAGTGAACGGCAGATGTCGCTGCATCTCCGCTTACTAGGTTCCAGCATCTAGCTGGATACAACCAGTTCCCAGCACAGCTCCCAAAGCACTGAACTTAAGTGTTCCAGGATGTGTCGCACTTATTAGACCCTCTTCTCAGAACCAGAATGAAAACCTGGAGTGGCTCTCAGTTTGCTTCAGCTGTCCTTTTTGTGCCTGTCTTATAGACCTCCATATTGTCTGCCTGTCTGCGTAGCTGGCTATAGTGCACTTGTCTTCAGCGTCACCCTTCAAGCAGCTGTTTAGGAGCCTCTGTGGGTTCACAGGTTTTCAGCAGGGCTCACCTACTTAAAGGTTTCTTGGCCTTTTTAAAAAACTTCCAGCAGAAATTCAGTTGCAGCGAGGTATGAAGCATCGCATAAGATGCTTAATTTTCTTTGAACCCTTGGCTTTGACAGTGGAGAAGTGAGGGATGGAATTGTGACTAGATTTTAAAAACTTAACAGGCTGGCATGGTGGTGCATGTCTTTAATCCCAGCACTCGGGAGGCAGAGGCAGGCGAATCTCTGTGAGTTCAAGGCCAGCCTGGTCTACATAGTGAGTTCCAGGACAGCTGGGGCTACAGGGAGACCCTGTCTCAAAAAGACCAAAAAAGTAAAAATAAATTTAAAAAAGAACTTTTAAAGGTTTCAGTTTTACAGTGCCCCTCCATTGCAGAGGAGCAGAGCTGGGTTGGGTCACCTGCATCCTGGTCTAATTCATGGCACCTTCTCTGACTCTCAGCTTTCCATCTTGGACAGCTTATAGTCACTCTGAAGTGCCCCTAAGCGGGGGAAGGGTTGATAAGTTCTAATTCTAGCCATAGCAAAAAACACACAGTATTTTTGTTGTTGTTTTTTAACTTTAGGAATTAAGCCTTCTACAAGTCTCTTGCATTAAACATGCAAAGTAAGGCAGAAACCACAAAGAGCTGTTTGCTGTGGAAACAGCATCTTTAGGGCTCTGCTAGTTCTCTGGGTAATGATTTCAAGTCAGGCTGTGCATCAGTGGGAAGCCCTTCACTGGGTTTCCGTGGGTCTCACGTATCTGTACTGGAGCTTGCCTGTGACCTGACTGAAAGCGGAGAAGCACAGGCAGTGCTCATGCCCTCAGCTACTCTGTCAGGAGCTTTCCAAGAGCTAGCTGTAGAGAATGGCTTTTGGTTTGGGTGGCATTTGGACTTCCATGGTGACAGCCCTGCCCATGGCATGCCTGGTTTTGACATGAGCTCCTTTCTGTTTCAGACGTCATCTGGGTGATTCTCAGTGTGGAGGTGGGTGGACTTTTAGGAGTAACACAGCAGCTGTCATCTTTTGAAACGGAATTCAACACACAGCCGCATCGCAAGGTAGAAGGAAACTTCAACCCGTTTGCCTCTCCCCAAAAGAACCGACAATCAGATGAAAACAACTTAAAAGACCCTGGGGGTTCCGGGTTCGACTCGATCAGCAAAAACTCATGGGCTCCTGCTCCCGACCAAACCGAGCAAGATCAGAATAGACTGTCACAGAACTCTGTAAATCTATCCCCCAGCAGTCACGCAAACAACTTATCAGTAGTGACTTACAGTAAGGTAGGTGCCCTTGGAGAAGGGGCAGGTGGTGGGCTTTGGGACTCATGATTCCCCTTCACAGCAATCCTAGAATCCTAGACTGCCACCACCTAGAGTGGAGGAGGCGCCTTGACACTGTTCCGCTGTCCTGCCAACAGCATCAAGACAAAGCCGACCCTCTCCCTTCCCCATGTCCTGTGGTTGCTGTTTGTCCCTGTGTCATTTGCTCCTATCTCTGCTCTGATTTGGATGTTGAAAGACTAAAGCTCTTTACCGTTAATGTTTAAAAACTGCCAAAACACTGCCAGTTGTGCATCCAGAGTCATTGTGTGGGGCCCAGGGGGCGGCGGCGTTTGGAGTGGCTCCTGCTTTGTGTTCTTGGTTGGGATTAGGTGTTTTCCCTGAGTAAAACCCAAGCTTGGCTGTCCCATCCTAGATGCTGTTGGGCTTTCCCTTTATTTACCCTGTCACATATCTGCTGCTGACGCCTCTTCAGTTTGCTGTGGCTCACCGACGTCTTCCGCAGAGCCACTGTCTTCCGCAGCCCAGAGTGGCTCGGTGCTATTTTGACTTTGCACTTGTGGGGGATAAGTGAGAGAATTAACTGTGGTTTTTAAACATTCTGGTTGTCGAGACTCTTCCAGGTGCCTGGGTTCTGGGCGTGTTTCTCTGTGTATCCAATTCAGCAGCTTCTTCCACGGGGCTCTGTGAAGGTGAAGATGGCTTCTGGCTGTTGCCTCTGGGCGTGCACATGTGTACTCCCCGCTATGAGTGCTAGACATGGAAGCCCAGCACCCCACTGTACAACAGAAACTGTTAGTCTGCCTTTGCGTCGTGCTGGTACCTAGCCTTGGCTTTTAAATGAAGTTGTGTATTTGAGGGGCAAGGTGTTCGGTTGTAAGAACAGCGATTTTGTGATTAGTGTTGTCTCTGTGGTCTGCATTAAGACAACCCAGGGGTAGGAACTTGATGATGTGAATCTTCTTCATGACCTAATAAGTGGCTTTCTTTACTAGTGAAGTCTGAAGAACCAACTTGGTTGGTAGATGGTCACAGCAGAGACTGTGCAGCCATGCTGATTGTCTGGGGTATGAGAAGTAAACTTGACAAGACAGTGACTTGCCTACCTTAAGGAAAGGTTTCTCTTTTGTTTGTATTTTGAAGCAGGATCTTCCTGTCTGTGCCTCCCAAGTGCTGGGATTAGAGACATGGATTACCAATCTGAGCTAAAACCATATCGTTATACTCAAGTAAAAGATTTTACTTTTTAATTCAATTTTATTTTATTCACACCCCTTCCCTTTGTTTTTTTAAAGGGCCAGGTCTTGTGTAGCCCAGGTTGACCTTGAACTTGCTGTATAGCCAGTGATGACCTTCTATCCTGCCTCTACATCCCAAGGGCTGAAATTGCAGCTGTATGCCACAAAGCCTGCTTTTATGATATGCTGGGATGGAACCCAGGACCTCAGGCATTCTAGGCAAGAACTCTACCGACTGAGTTCATCCTGAAGCCAAAACAGTTCTGTGAGCTCCCTCCCAACCCCGTACTTAAACTGAACCCTCTAGAGTCCATGCGTGAGGGAGGCAGACCAGCCAGCCCTGGCCAAATGGTGCCTTGTTAGAGTGGAACCTTGACACAGATGAGGTTAGTGGAAAGATGGAAGTTGGCAGAGGCAGCTTCTGGCACTCCGCCATTTCCTAGACTGGGCACTGAGCTTTCGGCTGAGTGTGGCTGCAGTCTTAGGGGAGCCTGGCATTCTGACCAGGGCACTGCACTCATCTCTGCAAGCTGTTGACAGTCCTCCACTTCAGGGAGTGATGCTTCAGGGGCTGATGCTGAGTGACTGACGGAGGGTCACTCAGAAGGTGGCTGGAGGCCTGGCACCTCCTGCCAGCTTGAGGTCCTACCAGGCCCTGCTACTTTTGGAAGGTCTGGATAGTGCCAATGCCATTGGAGGTATTTCTTAAGTTGACAAGCTTATAGTATTTTACTTAATACTTTTTTTTTGTGGACTCTGAGTCATTTAGTTTCTTGTCCATTGAGATGGTTCAGCTAATAAAGCTGGCCAAACCTGAGTTAAATCTCTGGGATCCACATAGTGGGAGGGAGCCTCCTCCTGCAGATTGTCCTCTGACTCCACTTATACACTGTGGCATGCACATAAGTGTACACAGAAACACATAAAATAAATGTAATAGAAAAAAATTTAAGCATAGCATATCCCTGGGCATAGTGGCAGAGGCCTTTAATGAATTCCAGCACTCGGGAAGCAGAGACAGGTGGATCTTTGTGAGTTCTAGTCTAGCTAGGGTTACAGAGAAAGACCTTGTCTCAAAAAAGTTTCCCATTAGAGAGTGAATCCAGAAAGACCTGGCTAGAATACATTAATAATGTGAAACTTAGATCGCAAAGAGAAATTGGAGCCTTTTTTTCTAACAGCCAGAATCCATTGAAACATTAATATGAAACATCTGAATTTTCTGCAAGTATTTCCAGCCAGAGCTGTTAGCTGTAGCACCTTAGAAACAGGACAGGTGGTCATCAGTGAATAGTAACGCATCTGTCCTGTGTAGAGCAGCTCACTGTTGTCGGAGTCCTGAGAGGAATCAAACAGGGAGATGAGACACCCCAAAGAAGTGAAGAGGAGGTCAGAGTGAAGAGTGAATTGGGCTGGCAGAGAGCAACAGTCAATTGTGGGATTGACAGTGGTGGGAAACTGCGTGTGCGAAGTAGGGGTGAGGTGCAGGTGAGATGTGGAGAACACAGGATGCAGTACGGACAGTGGTCGGAGCAGTGGCCATGGAGCTAGTTCTGTTGTTTCCATTTACCTTGCAGAGGAGTAGATGAAACAGTCACAGTGGCTCTGGGAAGCACTGGTACCCACTGAAGTGGACACAAGTGGACATCATCTAACGATGAGACAGCATGGGTAGGGCCACCGAGATGCCTCCGTGGGTAGAGGTGCTCTCCATCCAGGCTGGTAACCTGAGTTCTATCCCTAGGGACCCACATGGTGGAAGAACTGATTCCCCCAAGATGTCCTCTGACCTCCACATGTGTGCAACAGGCAGGTGCCCCACCTCCCCAAATGAATGTCATTAAAACAGTAAAAGCATAGGCAATCCTAGATACTTAATGCTAGGCTTGAGAACACAGAATTGATTTGTTCTTTTCTTTTTTTATTATTTTTATTTTATGTGTATGTGTGTATTGCCCACATGTGCACCTGTGTCATGCAGTGCCCAAGGAGGACAGAAGAGGCTGTTGGATCCCCTGAAACTGGAGTTACAGACAGTTATTAGCTGTCATGTGGGTGCTGGGATTCAAGCCTGGGTCTTCTGCAAGAATAACCAGTGTTCTTAATCGCTGAGCCATCCCTCCAGCCCAGGATTGATTTATTCTTAAAGACAGACATGCTTCAAGTTGGGTAATGCATACCTGACCAAGTGATAAAATCAGGTGTACACCAGGGATATTTTTTTACTGTTCCAAGTGCCAAGGCACGTTGCCACTTTCTTTTGCTTTTTTTTTTGTTTGTTGGTTTATTTTTTGGCTGTTTTTCATACTCGGTCTCCCTGTAGCCCCAGCTGGCCTGGAACTCACTATGTTAGACCAAATTGGCCTCAGTCTCAGAGATCCACATGCCTCTGCCTCCTGAGTGCTGGAATTAAAGGCCTGCACCACCACACCCTACTTAGAGCTGGCAGTCTAATCAAGTGCCACACCACTGAGAGGCATCTGGCTTCCCCTAGATCCTCTGACTGGGCTATTGAGGGCCAATATGGACTGAGGTACCATCAGGCAGGAAAGAGGCAGCGCTGAAGCAAGGTGAGCACTCTCATGTAGACTGAGCGTCGCCTGTGCTGTCTTGATTTCACAGCGTTTGGTTTGCTGAGGATTTATAACAGTGACTTCTTGTCCTGAGTGATTAAAATAAACCTGTTTTTAACTATCACAAGCCATGTGGTGTTTATAATAAATAGCAGAATGAATAGCAAGGGAGAAAGATCCTGGGGCTTAGGAGTTGGGAGTGTTTGCAGTTCACCCAGGTGTTGTCCTTAGTGCGTGGGTGGGGGTTATGTCTGGGCTGGTGTCAGGGATCACTGAGTTGGCAATAGATTGGATTTACTCCAGAGAAATTCCCTGCCCACCATCAAGGCTGGGAAAGAACAGGAAGCTCTTGGTAGCTGGTTTCAGTAGTTTTCTGCTGCCTCTGAAGTTGAGTGTAATTTGCTGAGGTTGGTAGGATAAGATCTCTGGGGGCAGGGCGTCCCTGCTCCAGGAGCCCTGGTGGATGTCAACAGAACAGCACATCTGTCAGTGTGGGAACTGGGTGCCCTGCAGCACTTCCTCAGCTACTTGCAAACAATCTTAAACTTTCAGTGTCCTGTTCTAAGGGGAAGTTCTGGGTCGGAACACCTACCCCAGTGCCTCTCACAGCCCAGAAGGCCTGGTGGCCCCTCCCCATAAGAGCTGCAGAGGGAGTCTGTAGAGGAAGTGTATATCGACCCTCCAAAGATTCATAAATCTGGCTCCTCTAATCCCAGCACTCGGGAGGCAGAGGCAGGCGGATCTCTGTGAGTTCAAGGCCAGCCTGGTCTACACAGTGAGTTCCAGGACAGCTGGGGCTACAGGGAGACCCTGTCTCAAAAAGACCCAAAAAAAAAAAAAAAAAAAAAAAAAATCTGGATCCTTGCTTTTGTCAGGAATTGGCCAACCTCATTGTCAGCTCCGTTGTGGCTGGCTGGTCCCAGGTGAGCAGCAAGACAAGTACTGGTCACAGTAAGCCATTCAATGACCCTTTCACTGCGGTGCCAGAGCCTCTGAGTCCAGGGGTCATGGCAGGGCAGGGACGTACTGTTGATGTCAGGGCACCTCACAGTGAATTCTAGCACCCTGACCCACCTATTTGGGCAGTGCAGGAGTAATGGAAAGGTGCAGAGTGTGGCAAGAGAGGAGACCTGTTCAAGCCAGAGAGGTCCTCTTAGGAGCCAGGAACTCGAAGTGTTTTCTCAGGCCT